TAGATCTCAGGTCTCCTGTTGTTGCTTTTTAATAGTTGCAAATTGGCCACTTTGTGGAAGAGAGCAACACTAGGAACCGTCTACTCTGCCATCTTGACTGGAACTCCCTGGACTGCCCTTTTTCTTTCCCCTATTCTAAGCCTTAGCTCTTGTTTTTTTTTAATCTCCACAAGGTCTTTTAAATTCTGTAAGACTTATTCCAGTTGCCATTCTTCAATAACTATCCATTTCACTGAATAATACTTAGCATATGGTACTTTGGAACACTGTTGTACTTAAATTTTGGTTCTGCCTCCCAAGCTAGATTTTAAGACCTCAGAAATAAAGAAATACACCCTATGCCCTCAATGTCTCTTTCTTTATTCCTCACCTTACTTCCCCAAATTACCCTCATTCATTCCCTCTCTTTCTTTCTTTGACTATAATTTGTTTGCCAACATACCAAATGTTTCACTGAGAATTGAATAATTATCATGGTTCAGAAACAGGTATAGGAATGTATGAAAGAATCTTAAAAAGACACAAAACTAAATGAAAATTTTAGATAGGTCGATCTTTTTTTTTTTTTTAGATTAGCTATAAAAAACCAATATCAAATCTATCATATTTTACTGATTACTTAAAAAAATTTAGGATCACATTGCCTAGTTGAATAATTTGGGGAACATGTTATCAAAAGTCTAATGCCAAAGTTTTGCTTGCGATTACTGATAGTGTTACTGTATCTTGGGACTAAAACAGATCCAACATTTTTTTATGTTGCACGATTATACCTTGGATGCTGTATATCCCTAAGTTCCTTTTCTTTTGAATTCCAAATAATGTGTCATAGTATTATATTTGGTATGAAGTAATTCACACCAAATGAGAATTAAAAGATCTATTTTGAACTGATGATATGATCCAAAAATAAAAGAAAAACACATTTTTTAAAAAGGACATAGCTGAACAGTTCATGCCAAAAATGAGAACAAACTTACTGATGGCTTAGAAAGGAACATCTTCGGGGTTTTAATTTATTTTTTCCAAATTCTATCTCATTGTTTGTGTCCTCTTTTGGACCAGGCAAGAAGACATTAACTTTCTGTTTCCAGCAGAGAAAAGCAGTCTTAGAATTCTGGCTAGTACCTAGCATCGAAGTACAATTATATAGAACCTGGAAATCTCATAACTTATTTACATTTTCAGAATCCTGGAAAAACTTTTATGAAGCAGACTCTAAACTTTTGAAGTTGACTGTAATAACTCAATAAATTATACTTTCTTGGTCTACTTAAAATGTCAAGTGGGAAAATTTCTAAGCTAAATAGAAAAATAATTTTCAAAACACTGATTTGAAATATATAAGAACTCGGGCCGGCCCGGTGGCGCACTGCTATAGTGTGCTGCTTGGGAAGCGCGGTGGCGCTCCCACCGAGGGTTCGGATCCCACGTACAGACTGGCTGCTCACTGGCTGAGCGAGGTGCGGGAGCGACGCCGAGGGTTGCGATCCCGTGGCCGGTCCCGGTCCGGTCCGGGTGCGACACTGAGGGTTGCGATCCGTTGCCGGGCACGAAAAAAGACAAAAAGGAAAAAAAAAAAAAGAAATATATAAGAACTCAGATCTTGGCTTCTAATATTATTCCCTACTCAAAGTAGCCAAGGCTTCTTGAAGAAATGGCTGATTTTGAGGCTGAAGCAGGAAAGGAATAAGATGAGCCTGTATCTGCTTGTTACGACAGAAAGTTAAAAAATGCTTTAAAAAAAAAAAATGAGGCCTTGTCCAAGAATACAGGAGCCAGCCTGAGGTATGTCCATTGGTCAAATATGGGACAATTTGTGCACTGAAATAATGAGAATAAGATGAGCCTGTATCTGCTTGTTACGACAGAAAGTTAAAAAATGCTTTAAAAAAAAAATGAGGCCTTGTCCAAGAATACAGGAGCCAGCCTGAGGTATGTCCATTGGTCAAATATGGGACAATTTGTGCACTGAAATAATGAGACCCATTCATGAATTACATACTATTGAAGGGAAAAAAATTGGAATCCATGGGTCCATAGCTCAGAAAGATAGGCAACAAGGGTGAGCTCGTGCTTACAGTAAAATGTCGACTGCTGACTGGTAAAGGTAGAGGGAGTGTGAAGTTGGAAAAATGATCATTTTGCAACCATCATACTCAAAATTGGCACAGGCAAGAATCATTAGTAAATGCTAAATCTAGGGGAGCATTATTGATGAGTAGTAGGATATTGGCATAGTCTTAAAGTGTCTTCCTACAGTTTGCTTATTAGTTGCAAGAGAAAAAACTGCAACTGTACAAGGAGTAATCTGACAATCACCTGACCACGTTACTAAAATTAACATCATCCATGAGGGGCAGATAGACACTGTGTACTTCCAAATGTATACCCTTAAAAAGACACCTCTTGAAGGAACACATTTAGGTAGTATTCCAGCTGTTGACATACGACCTGAATCTAATGACGGGAGACATCAGAAAACACAAAATAAGAAATATTCTGTTAAAAAAAAAGGTTGGGTAGTTACATTATTCAAAAATGTCAATGTCATAAGACAAATAAAGACTGAGCAACTAACTATTCCAAATGAAAAGAGACAAAAGAGAAATAAAAATTAAATGCAATATATGCAATATATGCTGGATTCTGTACTGTAAGAAAAGGGGGCAGAGCTTTATAAAAAACATTAAGTCAAACAACACAATTAGAGTATGAATGTAGACTAAAGTATTATATAGATGTTAAATCTCCTGAGGTTGATAACTGTTTATGTACTGTTTATGTTCCTTTGAAATATAACTAAAGAATTTAGGGTAAAGGAAGATGATGCATGCTACTTTCTTTCAAATGGTTCAGAAAAAATTATGTGTGTGTGTGTGTGTGTGTGCATGTATGTGTATGTATAGTGGAAGAGGGAAGGGAAGAGAGGGAGAGAGAAAGAAGGGAAGCAGGGAGTGAGGGAGGAAGGGGGAGAGAGATTTCAGAATAAATCAATGGGGCAAGATAAAAACAACAGGTGAAGAATATGAGCAAAGGACATGTGAATGTTTGTACTATTCCTGCAGTTTTTCTGTAAGTTTGAAATTATTTCCAAATAAAAAGTTTGAAAAATACCCAAGAATTCCTAGAATCTCTTTATAAACACCTACTACAATATCTTAATGTATTGCCTTTCTGTCAGTTTATCTGGGGGAAGGAGAGGGTGAGTAGGGAAAAAGAGAGGAGGAAGAATCTAAACAATCTCAGCTTCATTAGAAAATACTGGAAAGTTGTGGAGAGGTACCCTCAAGAACATGGAAATAACAGAAAATATTACATTTAGCATTAACTTAAACTCTGAAGATCAATATAGAAATGAAGAGCCAGCTAAAAGAGAGTAAGTGGCGCTTGGGCTAGAGAACACATCTCTAACTTACTTAGACTGAATTGATCAAAATGGGTATTTGATCAGCTATTTTTTGGCAACATGCATACGGGCACTACTCAGGGAAGAGGAGACTATAGACACAGACTTCTAATTTACTGTCCCCATTGACAACATAATTCTTAACTTCAAATAGAAGCAACAAGCTATGTTAATCTGATAGTCCTGAAATATTTCACATCAAATATTCTTTAGTTTGATTCTAAAATCAAAAGCCTTCAGATTTTGATATGGTTTCCCACAAAGCTCTGACAACAAGGAGAGAATGTGCTGATGATGCAGATAAAGCATATTTTGTTCTGTGTAACTTTTTAACATTTTGTTGTAAATTAATAAACTAGCATACTGGTTTTAATACATCGGACTACATCATGAAAGTTGATTTATCTCCTCTGTATTAAAAAATCAGATTTCTGCATCCAGAAAGTTCAGATCTTGGAGTTTGATCAATATAATCAAGATAGCAAATGTCCCTTTGTGAGGCCACCTCAGAAAGCAAGCCACTCTGTTCCCCTGGTGGTGATACTCATTCATCTGTGTGTAGTAGAAACCACAACAGACAATGAAAACTGGCTCGCTCAACATCCTCCAAACCTCTTTGTAGTTCCCTTCTTATACCACAGAACCTGGAAAGCAAAACAAATCACCACCAACAACAACTACAAAAAACCCCTACTTTTTCCTGACTTTCTTGCAGGTAATTTCTGCATGTAATCTGACTTCCACAAGGGAAACAACCCATGTGACACTTAAAAGCAGAAATCAGCAGTGACATAGGGGCCACACATACAAGGCTGGATATTCTAGGGCAACTACGGTGAAGGTTACACTGTCTCATACCCAGAATCATAAGTGCCAAGTGGTAAAAGGTTTCTGTGAGAACAGTCCCAAACTGGGCTGTTCCTAATACTCAGAACTGGTTCCTTACTTGCCCTTCACCCCTGAAATTCCATAAGTTGCCCAATACTTTGTCATAAATCCTTTCTGCTTAAATTAGAGAAAGTAGATCCAGTTGTCTGAAACTAAGAACCTCAATCAATATTCTGAAAGAGCAATTATTTTGAATTTCTATCATTCTAGCTTATGAATTTCAGTCTGATCATGTTGATAATACTACCACTAACAATAATAAGTTAACATTTACTTGGGGGCTAAAACAATAATGTCAAGCACTGTAAAAAACAGTTTAGACATTCTGATGAAATGTTCTACATTTAAAATAAAAAACCAGTGGTGAGAAAAGACCCATTGGGAGAAGAACGGGCAGGGAAAATCACAGGTTCACCATGAGAGGAAACTAATCTTCTTAATAAGCCAATCCATAGATATGCTATTCTTAGAAATATTCAGATTATGATCAATATTTTCAAAGGGGACAATTAAACCTGGAAAGTAACTTTACCTTGTTGCCCTCCACTCCAATATTAAACACAAAAACATAAAACGTTCCTCATGCTTTTTAAAGTAGCCCATAAAACTCAAAACTGCCAGTTTTAACTAAAACAAATATGCCATAAAAAAAGATTCCTAAATGTCCCTTTGACTTTACTTTGGGCTAGAAAAGATTTTGTACCTGGAGATTGATCTCTGCCTCGTAGAAGGTCAGGCATGAGCAGTAATGTCGATCTGAGTCAATGTCTGTCAGGACCACCACAAAGAATGTTGGCTGCTTCCTTTCTCTGGACAGCTGCCACCCACCAGGCTGACAAAACTAAACGGGATAAAAAAAAAAAGCTGTTACGTTTTAAAAGTTTAGTGAATATTTATTTATTAATTAATCTCTTAGAAATGTTAAACGTTCCCCTCTTTTTAAAAATTCTACCTGCTGTGGTATGTTACTTCAGCCAACATTTAAAAAAATACATGTATGGAGTCATAATGTAGAAATCTTTCACCAATGCACATATATATTTTATGAAGATAACCTATATTTTCCACAGATGCCATCTCTGAGACCTAGGTTGGTATATGTAGAAACATAAAATGAAGGACTCTGCCCAACTATGAGACCAAATCTTGAAATGAGATAGTTGGAGATAACATGTGAAGTATGTATCACTGATGGAAAACAGTTTTAAAAATTTCCTCATAAATCTAACAGTCTTCAATCCAGTACAGTAAGAGATATCCCTGTTAACCAAGACAGACCACATTCTGAGATATAAAACACACTTTTAACAAATTTAAAAATATATAAATCATACAGTGTCTGCTCTTAGACCACAATGGAATTAAACTAGATATAAATAACAGAAAGATAGCTGGAAAACCCCATAATTGAAGATTGAACAACAAACATCTAATAACACAAGGGTCAAAGATAAAACCTCAAGAGAAATTATAAAAATATTTGGAACTAAATGAAAATGAAAATACAATTTATCAGAATTTGCAGTGAAAGCAGAGCTTAGAGGGAAATTTACATCAATGAATGCATATATTAGAAAAAAAGCAAGATCTAAAATCAGTAATCTAAGCTTTGATCTTAGGCAACTAGAAGAGAAAGAGCAAACTGGATACAAAGTAAACAGGAGAAAAAGAATTAATACAAGTTAAAACAGAAATCAATGATACTGAAAACAGGAAATCAACAGAGAAAAGCAACAAACCCAAAAGCTCATTCTCTGGAAAGATGAATAATATCAATAAGCCTCTAGCCAGGCTAACTAAGAAAAAAAGAGAGAAGAGACAAATTACTAATATCAGAAATTAAAGAGGCGACATCACTACAGATCCCATGGATGTTTAAAGGATAGTCAAGGAATACTGTGAATAACTCTTTGCCCACAAATTCGATAACCTAGATGAAATGAACCAATTTCTTGAAAGACACAATCTGTCAAAATTCATGCAAGAAACAATTTGAATAGGTCCATATTATCATAGAAATTGAATCAGTAATTAATAACTTTCCAAAATAGCACCAAACCCAGATGCATTCACTGGTGAATTCTACCAAACATTTAAGGAAGAAATTATACCAATTCTCCACAGTCTCTTTCAGTAGATAGAAGCAGAGGGAATACTTCCTAATTCATTCAATGAGGTCAGTATCACCCTAATACCAAAAACCAGACAAAGACACTAGCAAATTGAACTCAACAATGTATGAAAAGAACACTGTGACCAAGTGAAATTTATCCCAGGTATGCAAGGCTGGTTCAACAATTCAAAAAATAATTTGAGTAATCCAGCACATCAACAGACTAAAGAAAAATAATCACATCATCATATTAATAGATGCAGAAAAAGCATTTGACAAAATCCAACACCCATTCATGAAAAAATTCTTAGAGAACTAGGAACAGAGGGATACTTTCTCAACTTGATAAAGAATATCTACAAAAATATCTACAGCTAACATCATACTTAATGTTGAGAAACTCAAAACTTTCCCACTAAGATCAGGAATAAAACAAGGATGCCCCCACTCACTGCTGCTTGTCAATATTGTACTAAGTCCTGGCTAATACAATAAGAAGAAAAGGAAATAAAAGGTATATATATTGAGAAAGAAGAAACAAAACTGTTTTTGTTCATAAATGACAAGATTATATACAAGGAAAATCTGAAAGACAAAAAAACTCAGGTTCCAGAATACAATGTTAATATACAAAAATCAATCACTTTCCTATATGCCAACAATGAATAAGTGGAATTTGAAATAAAAGACACAATACCATTTATATTAGCACCCCATAAAATGAAATATTTATGTATAAATCTAACAAAACGTACAAGATTTATACGAGGAAAACTACAAAACTCTGATAAGAGAAATCAAAGAAGAACTAAATAAATAGATACTCCATGTTGGTGGACAAGAAGACTCAATATTGACAATATGTCAGTTCTTCCCACTTTCATTTATAGAGTCAATGCAATCCCAATAAAAATCCCAGAAAGTTATTTTGTGGATATCAACAAACTGATTCTAAAACTTATAAAGAAAGGCAAAAGACCCAGGATAGCCAACACAATATTGAAGAAAAAGTACAAAGTCAGAGGACCATCACTACTGAATTTTAAGACACTATAAAACTTCAGTAATGAATACAAGTGTGGTATTAGCAAAAGAACAGGCAAATAGATCAATGAAACAGAAAAGAGAGCACAAAAATAGACCTACATAAATACAGTCAACTGATCTTTGACAAAGGAGCAAAGGAAATACAGTGGGCAAGAGAGTCTTTTTGACATATGGTACTGGAACAACTGGACATCCACATTTAAAAAAAAAAAGAATTTAGACGTAGACTTCACACTCTTCACAAAAAGTAACTCAAAATGGATCACGGAACTAAATGTAAAATGAAAAACTATGAAACTCCTAGAAGATAACACAGCAGAAAGTTTAGATGACCTTGGGTTTGGCAATGACTCTTTGTATACAACACCAAAGGCATGATCCTTGAAGGAAATAACTAATAAGCTGGAATTCCTTAAAATTAAAAACTTCTGCTCTGTGAAAGACACTATCAAGAGAACTGAAAGACACACCACAGACTGGAGACATCAGAAAAGTAAGATCTAGATAATTTCCTACATTTAGAGAGAGATGTTAATCGTGGTCACAGCTTCTCTACAGAATGAAAAATTCTACCAAATGCATTTCTTTAAGCAAAGGCATACACGAAGAAACAGTATGAAAGGCTTAAAGATTCCTTAATTAGCAAATAAGTGAAAATATTTATCTCTACTACACTTTTATTTTGAAATAGTAATTCATTCAACAAATATTTATTGAGCACTTAAGTATCATTTATTCTATAAATCTTTTTCTGAAGCTTCCCAGTTTCTCTAGACTCCCTGTCCCCCACCCACCTAAAGAATCAGGCAGTTTCTCTCCTGGGCTCCAAAATCATTTTTGTACATTTTTATTATAAATAATAATAATGACAACCTTTCCTTCTCTATATTTTCCTAGAACTTATTATCTATCCTACTTATCTGGTACAGAAAAGCTGACGTCAGTATCTTTATGTACATATTTTTCTTTTAACAATCCATCTTCCCTAAATTCTACAACATTATATCTCAGGCTTATTTGTGACCGCCATAAGCCTTTTTTATTCTAGAACAGTAGCTCTCAAAGTGTGATACATAGTATCACAGCAGTTCCCAAGGTCAAAACTATTTTCATAATCCTACTAAGATATGGTTGTTTCTTTCACTTTGATGGCATTTACACTGATTGTACAAAAGCAACGGTGTGGTAAAGCTGCTTGCGTCTTAACAGAAATCGAAGTAGTAGCACCAAACCTTACTTGTAGTTATTGTATTCTTCATAGCTGCACATATTCAATAAAAACGTCAGTTTCATGCTACACAAAATGGGAATGGGCAGCGCTTTTTTGAACAAGACTACAAAGGCACAGGCAACTAAATCAAAAATATACAAATGGGACTATATTAAACTGAAAAGCTTCTGCAGAGCAAAGGACACAATCAACAAAATGAAGAAACAACCTACAGAATGAGAGAAAGCGTTTGCAAACTACACATCAGACAAGGGGCTAATATCCAGAATATATAAGGAACTCAAACAACTCGCAACAAAACTCAAATAATCCAACTAAAAAATGAGCAAAGGACTTAACAGACATTTCTCAAAAGAAGACATACAAATGGCCAACAAGCACATGAAAAAATGTTCAAAATCACTAATCATCAAGGAAATGCAAATTAAAATCACAATGAGATACCATTTCACTCCAGACAGAATGGCTATTATCAAAAAGACAGAAAATAAACGCTGGCAAGGATGTGGAGAAAAGGGAACTCCCCTACATTGTTGGTGGGAATGTAAATTGGTACAGTCATTGTGAAAAACAGTATGGAGGTTCCTCAGAGAACTAAAAACTGAACAACCTTGATACGGTAATTTGGATATATACCCAAAATAAATGAAATCAATATATCAAAGAGACACCTGCACTCCCATGTTCATTGCAACACTATTCACAATAGCCAAGAGATGGACTCAACCTAAAAGCCCATCAACGGATAAATGGGTTTAAAAAAACCTGTGGTATATATTCACAATGGTATAGTATTCAGCTACAAAAAAATGAAAGATGGTCATTTGCAGCAACACGGATGGAACTGGAGACCAAAATGTTAAGTGAGTCACATAATCTCACTCATATGTGGAATCTTAAAAAAAAAAAAAAAAAGGCTCTCATAGCAAGAGAGAGTAGAATAATGGTTAGCAGAAGCTGGGAGGAGAGGGAGTTTGGGGGAATAGGGAAGTGGTGAATTAATGGGTATAAAGTCATGCTATCTATTCTAAGCAAATTGATGCATAGTATATGCATGTTTTGAAACAACGCACTATACTCCACAAACGTGTACAAATGGATGTTTAAAAAAAAGGGGCTCAGCTAGAGGGGGTGCTGATAACACCATTCCCCACCCCCACAAAAAATAAGAGAGAGAGAGTACATGGACATCTGGGGGAAAAAAATAGTCAGTTTCAGTTAAGAAGGCCCTTGATGAAGCAATAAGCATTTTAATTTCATTATAACTCAATCCTTGAGTATAAACCTTTTGAAATGTTTCAAATAGTAAGTACATACAAAGCACTTTTGCTAGATGTGGAAATATAGTTATCTAGAGAAAACAACACTTGTGCAGTTGTATAAGTTGTGAGGTGAGCTAGGGTGCTTTCGATTCAAGAAACACCATTTTTTACTTTAAAAAAAAATGTTT